CCGCACAGCTGCCTACAGTGCAGCTGGGGACCACCTTATCTCACCGCTGGACTTGCCTCAGTCCTGGTTCCCCGACCACCATGTCCCACTGGTACTGATAGAGATGTCCATCAGGACTGACACAAGAATTTCAGTCCTGGAAACCCATTAGCTACTGAGGTCTCTGTCGCCTCCCTGGGGATTCTTTCCAAGGTCACACACACCTAATTCTGAGGCTCCACAGTGTCAGCGATTCCAGAGCTGGTGCTGTGCACCCCTGCAGGTCCTGGAGGGTCAGCTGCATGTTCCCCCTGACTGGACAGCCCTACAGGCGGGGCTGAGGACAGCCAGGGTGCAGCAAGAGCACCAGTTCTGGACCTGGCGGGTCGTACCAAAGCAGGCACTTCAGGAGAGTGAAGAACAAGAACCTCAGGGCAGCTGAGGCAGGCAGAACAGAACAGGCCACCTCTGCAGGAACTAGGGCTCAGAGACAAGGCAGGCTGGACATGAGAAGGTCTTAATCAGAATGACTACTGCAGCAGGGAAAGTGCAGCGTGAACTGGGCTCGGCTTTGACTTGGGCAGAGGTCACTGGGAGAAGAAGGGATCCCTGTGGAGGTGAGCAGAGCTCACTGGAGTCTTGGAAGGGAAGGAAGCAGGATCCTGGGAGGGAAGGGGAGGTCTCTGGGCAAGGCATCTGGACTGTCTACAGAAGTCAGGCTGCACGGAGTCGGGCTCACGCCTTCCCATGGAGAACGTGGTAGACAGTGAGGGCTGGGGTCATCTAGGGACATGCACTGAACTGTGGCCAAGGCTGGGTTAGGAGGAGGGCTCAGAGGAGCCTGGAGTTAGTTGGGGAAGGAGGGATCTTTGTCGTTGGCACACTAATTTCACCACCTCCCTGGACAGCGGGGACTGATCCTGTGCTCCAGTGGCCATCGTCATGGATGGTAAGTGTCAGCCCAAGATAATCTGTGGGCCACTTTGGTCTATGTGGTGTGTCTTGGACCAACATGCTGTCACACGGCGAATGACCATGTCTGTGCTAGGTGTGTATGTGAATTCATGCATTGCCCTTTTCTCCTCCTCTGTCATCCGTTTATAATGATGAGGGTTGGTTTTCTCCTCTGCCTCTTTCTATTACAGAGGGATCGGAGCCAAAGACATTTCTGTAGTCCTCTGGGTCCTGTATTCTATGCTTAACTCATTCCAATCCAATTTAATAAGTAAATTCTGCCAAAAGCATTGTATGCTGAAAGAAAAGTCACAATTAGTTGACAAAGGGGTCAGTCTAGGGGAAGTTGGACTGATGGAAAACTGAGGCTGAGGTGACCCCAGATCCACCCAGGGGAAATCGAGAGACCTCCTTCCGGTCTCCTTGATGTCTGTGTGTTGCATGGTTGAGAACCATTGATATCATCCTTTGGAAGAGGAAACTTTCAAAGGTGCTGCCCATGACCACAGACCCAGCTCCTGGCTGGGAGATTCTGGAGGAGCAAGAGTGCATCTGTCCCATTCCTGCCTCACCCCCAGCAAGTCACAGGAGCCTGCAAACAAATGGGACTCCCCCAGAGTCTATTTCACAGGCCTCCTAAATGGAGTTCTTCCAGTGGAGGGCTCAGCCCGGTGGATGCCATTGGTGGCTGGAGGGTGAGTGGGCTCCAGCTCCTCCCCCACTTCGGATGTGATCTATGTCGTAATGGTACCTGTCTTCTAGAGCAAGCTGAGGGTCTCTTGAGATCATCCACATAAAAGCTCCTCGGTTTGATAAACACTAAAGCTTGGATATTTTTATTTCTTCTGTAAAAAGAAAAACAAACCAGTTATTTATTTAGTCTGTGAAGTAAAATAATCGGGATGAAATGCAGAAACATGGTCCTGCACTACTTAATACTTACGGGATATTATTTTATCACTTTATTTTTTAGCAGTTGAGTTGGGAAATAGATTTTAATTTTAAAATGTTTTGGTTTTCCTCTGAAAGGTATTGCACATTTCTGTGTTGTAGGTTACTGACAATTAATTCTTTTCCTCTAATTAAGTAGACAGAAAGCCCGAGTGAGTCCATTTCTGGGACAGGGAAAGCGTGTGTCCCTGTTCTTTTCTCCTCGAGGCTGCAGGTCCCTGCCCAGCCTCGGGTACTCTGAAGCTCTCAGAGCTGACACGGCTGCGTGGCAGGAGCAAACCATCCCACCCTCAGCTGTTGCTCCAGATGATTCCATGGCAGGGTGCAGTGGGGGGAGATTCAGAGTTTCATGTTGACTTGGAGGAGGGTCCCCAAAGAATGGAGAATGGGAACCTTTACACTCTTAACCCACGGCCTTCCCATGTGCACCCTAATTGACAGGGGGTCAGAGCTCTGCTGGTGAGAGCCCCTGAGCCCCCATCAACATCCAGAAACCTGCCTGCCCAGGTTCTGGGGCCCTGGGTTGGGTCAC